ATTATTGTGTAGAACTCTTGAATAATAATTTCGATTTGGTATTTTTATTATAATTTTTTTTTTTTTTTTTTTTTTTTTTTTTTTTTTTTTGTTGTTGTTATTATTGTTGTGTGGTTGCATAGACTCTAGTCACTTGATAAATGGAACTCTCTTAAGTATATAATACTACACACGATATATATATATACATATAAATACATAGAATATATTATTATTTATTAATAATATATTATTATATATTATCGATTTTACTTCGCTCTCTTCGCGACACTACTTATAATACATATCATATAAGTACTATAGTCATCGTCACGGAATATTATAATAAAATATGCGTTACAGATTATACGATAATATATTATATTTCTAGAGAGTTTAGATGATTTTAGTAATTTTTATGATTTATTTATTCATTATTATTATTATTATTATTACTACTATTATTATTATTATTATTATTTGTATTGACTTGGTAGGGATAATATTATTATTAGGTATGTAGTAAGTACTCGTAAATTACACAATTAATACAAATACAATTATTAATTTAGGTAGGTATATATATTAATTATATATAATACCATTAAGGTATATATAATAATTGTTATAATATTATTATTATGATTGTTCTCGTTTATTGTATTATTGTTAATTATATATTGGCATAGGTATTTTATTAACATTATTACGTTATTGTTGTTGTTTATAGCGTTGAACGGACATTAAAATTATTTTATAGGTAGTCGGTCCGTTGTATTAAAATATATATATATATATATACCTACATTATTATTTTGTTATTCCAGGATAGAATGTAAAAAACTAATATTATATTGTGTTTAATAATTGTTAATTATTATGTTATTTAGGTATGTTATTGTGTATTTATGTTTCAATTATTATTATTATTCTATTTCTAATATTTTCCAATATTATTATAGTTTTTATATATTACATTATTATATTTTGCACGATGCATGCGGCGCAAAATTTGCATGCACTTTCAAACATCTTTTATTCCACTATTTCATTATTATATATTATATTTATTATAACATATAGAACTGTGGTCGGTTGGTGAAAAATAATTATTAATTTTTAAACAACCCCCCTCTCTTCCACCAGCTCCCCCACCGTGTGATTTTATTTTATTATTTTTCCCGTCACAAAATTAATTAATTATTTTTTTTTTTTTTTTTTA